GGGGGGGGGGGGGGGGGGGGGGGGGGGGGGGGGGGGGGGGGGGGGGGGGGGGGGGGGCAAGATGCTTGCGCAATCTATGAAGTGTATCACGTTTCTCTGAGAATAACGGTTGTGGCGCTTCAACAAACGCAAGGTATCCCGGATGGCTTGCGAACAACACGCGAGGAGCAGCGTACGTCCTTCGCATTTTGCGAGAGATTGCTGAGAGGCGGGAAAAGAAGTCCGCCAATTGACGATCCACCTCCTCTGCCGAAAGCGGTACTATGTGTTGGAAAGATCCCGTAGGTACATGGCTTGCCCATGATCATCCTTCTCCTCGAAACATATCCTTGATAATGCCATTTCGAACTATTCAGGACTTGCTGGGGGGAAAAAAGGGTGTTGATGTAGAAGAAGCGTATTTACAATCACGACGGCTTGTTTCGAAGGGTCGAACATCGCTAAAAGCGCGAAATCTGTTGTCTCGCCTCTCTGGTGCCCGATCCCTGGTCTCGTCCTCCTCGACCAGCACTAGCTTTGAATTGTTCTGGATTACTTTCTTTATGACTTTCCGTTTCTGTCTAAGGGTCCAGGTATCCGTAGACGAGGCGACCGATACATGCCGTGCCTGAGCTGCCACTGCGCCGATGCCCAGGCTTAGGCGGAAAGTCGCGCCCGATGGAGGGGTCGTGAAAACGACGCTGTTGGCATCGGTTGTCGACGACGTTTCGGGTGGGCGGGAAGAGGAAACGATTACGGTCGTGTTGCCACGTGAACTAGTCTACACCAATAATTCGAGACGAGCGATTGTTTTCTTCGCCATATGCGGGCATCCGCGCAGGTCGTTTTGTATGAGGGGGCAAGGCGTAGAAGTGTAGCAAATGCACGGAGCAACGGGTGCCGCAGATACGTCACTAGAGAGGGATCCTTCCATCGAAAGATGCATGTTCGAGAAACAGCCAAGCAACCGTGTCCGTCACTGGGTGGGAAGTACGTTCAAGGGGGTGGTACAGCCAGTTGAGGGGCCAGGTTCGTCATGTTATCATATTTTCCCGAAAACGCGACAACTCGTCGGCCCGCAAAGAGATCCCTAGACAAACTGATGAGATCTTAGACATCCAGAGCCACGGAGATGACTGTTTTAGGCCCACGTATAATCTCTCTCTCTCGTGTCCCAAGCACGTGCAGATTTACGCCAAAAAGCATGCCTGCCTGCCTGCCTGCCTGCCTGCCGTTCTCTCTCGTGCTGCCGAGAGGATCGCCAAGTTCTGACGAGGGGACAATTGCTACCCCTTGCGTCAAACACATCAACGCCTTTCACGGCGGCAGAACCTGGCACTTATGGCCGTGGGGCATAAGTGTCCCGCCACCACAGTTTGCGTGGCACGGCACTCCCAACAAACGAAAGGCTAAAAACTTGACACCCCATCTCAAATCAATGATCCGTCCTCTCGAGGACGCACTGTCAATGGCCTAGTCTCCCCGGTGGTCTAGTGATATCCTCGTAATCCGCTAGTCGCAGAGGTCGCGAGTTCGAATCCCCATGGGGTGAAAAATTTACGAATTTAGCGGGTGAAAGCGAAATATAGCAAAAAAGCTCTCGTGAGTACCAAACTTCGACGTTAGCACCGTTGACGAGGGAAAGGGATGGCTGGACCCTTCTCGCGATAAAAATAAAATTCAGCACGCACCGCAGGAGGAAGGTGGGGCATGAAAAGAAATAATAAGAAGAAAAAAGCCCTGGTGTTTACCCGCTCCTGTGTGACCCTGGAAGGTTGTAGTTGTACGAAAAAATACACTGAAAAGTGTAGTACTCTACAAACGCTGAAAAGTGTACTACATGTGTCACCACGAAAAATGGGGGGACTGTCGCCATCATAAATAGGACGGAAACACACTGACACACACACCGCTAAGGCATGCACAAAAATGAGTACGATCCCCCCTCCCCCACTCACTTCAGGTTGCCTGGCTGGTCGGGGAACTCGTAGACCATGAGCGTCAGCAGGCGACCCGAAACTTGAATCACGGTGCCGAGGGTAAGCCCTCGAAATCGCTTCTTGACGGCTAGCCACGCCTGGAGCTTGGCCTCCTTGGCCTCCTCCGCCTTTTTGGCATGGTATCGATGGTCAATGTAACCAGGCCGGAGGGAAGCAAAGCATGGCCGTCGTTTGAGTGCATGTGGCAACGCTGGCGACGTGTTTCAATCGCTGAGCCTCGGATACTAAATGTTCGAGCGAGTCCGTCACCCGATTCGACAAGGGTTCCATATTGCAGTTTCCTCGCCAAACAACGTCGTCGACCATGCTGGGATGCAAGTAGGCGTTACCCACAATACTTTCCCTCAGCGGGGATTTTTCACTGCTAGAGAATAACGTACGGGCCCGCACGCCGTTCAGGCCGAGGGGCGTCGACCAAACAAGTATCGACAAAAAGTGTCATGCCAAAGTCACGACAAATACAGCGCACCTACAAGTACATTTGACACCACCCTAAAGTACATGAATAACAAAGATACCGCAGGGATGAGAGGTGTACGTACGGTTTTGTAGGGGGCGTGGGGCAGGGGGGAGGACTCACGTGTCGGCGCTCTTCCTTGTACTCTTCGATCCTCACGTCGAAAGCTCTGACCCGAGTCTTTCGCTTGGCCCTGTTCGGTCCCGCCGCGTTTGCCCTGTGGCCGCGTGTCTGTGCCGCGTCTCGCTTTGAGTGCCACTTTCGGGATGCCACCGAATGCACAGTTGCATCAAGCGTGCTGCGCCCACTGCGTCCTTGCGTTGCTGCTGTCGCCCCTGGTCCGTTTCGGGACTTGATGGGATGGCCAGAAACGGTGCCAGCGGCTACAGACCCACCGCCGCCGCCACAACCTCCACCACCTCCATCAGACAGTTCACCACACGCCGCCACGTCGACATCGAGCATGTTCTGCGTGTTCCGAACTTGCAGACGCTGTGTAATCCACACCGCTCTCTCGGCTGGCGTGCAAGCTGCGGCGGCCCTGCACGCCCCTGCCACTCGGCGGGCTGGCCCAGCGGTGGCGATTGACTTGCTGTCGTTCGAGCTGGTACCGTGGGCGTGTATAGGTCCGCTGGTGCACGCGTCGGAGGGACTGCCTTCGCCGCGGTACCCGCCTCTTGTCTGTGCACTCACACATGTGCCCTCGGTACCCTCCGACTGCTCGTCTCCGATCTTGGCTGGTGTTGCTGCCGCCCCCGCCGTCGGCTCTGCGCCGTAGGCAAGCATGCAATATAAGTGTACCCATCTCAATTGCAATCCTAAAACAAACTTTGGCGGCACTGTTTTCACTTAGGCTATTCAACGATCACATGTTGACGCATGGTGGTTCAGCCGACCTTCAGTTTTTAACGTTTCTGTCTTGCGTCAATGCGCAACGTGAGGGGGGATCATGAGGCCTGTTTGTGGCTTGATGTGAAAAAATAGTCATATCCCGATATTCTTGTTTTGTGGCGGCAATGCCGCGGCTTGACGGTCTGCAGAACGTCTGCCTCATTATACCCAAACGTAAATCTTGCAGCGTTGACGCGAAGGTTTTCCAGCCCTATAGTGGAATGACTACACAGGGCCCCCGAAGACAGGACTGCGGTGCCAGGCGAAGGACCAGCAAAGGCTGGCTGAGTAGCCGACTCCAGTGTCTGGTTATCAGCCTACCAAAGCACATGATTACAGAGAATCACAGCTGGAAAACACGCGATGAAGAACACGATTGATGAGAGCGTTTGGAACGGTTTGCGTGCACCTCTCTCCAGGCAAGATGTTCTCTTTTGTTTGAAAAAATGAACCAGACGTTTCGTAAACTTATCTTCCTCTCCTGTGTGGCTGCATGGTTGACTTCGTCAACTTCCAGAGGTAGCCTGAAAAGGCAACAACGGAGCACCCACTGAACGCAGACAACCAGTCACAGATATCACAAAACCAAAGAGTGCATGTTACCTGCCCCTGGGAAGCCAGGCCCGGCGCCGGTGTTCCTACTTTCCCAATGGAGGTCGAAGTCTGAATCACGAAGAGCGTGGAGGCACGTCCACGGCTCTCGGTCGGAGTAGTGATACGACGTGAACCGAATACCATCAGGTAACGTCGAGTCCGCCTCCTAAGAACAATCGTGATGTGCGTGTTCGCGAAGGGCATTGCCCGTAGTGAGGTCGAAAGGTGCACACGCATATAATGGGTGGCGGAGAATCCTTGAATACTGCTGTAAGCTTGCTAAAGTGAACTTGATACCAATGCTGCAAACGACGTCGATCCATAACCCATGGCAAGCCCGTACGGCGCCACGCACCTCAGTTTCCAGCGTGTAGTCAAAGTACAGCATCTTGACAAGCTCAAGCACCATGTCCTCCTTCCTGCCCACCCACAACTTTTCGGAATCATCCCGAAACAGGCGCTCCAGTTCGTCCACCGACACGTACAGCTGAATCCTGACAATTGGTTGTATGCATGGAGTAGCCACGGCCGTTAGGTGGTGCGAAAGGAAGCGCTTCAGCAGCACGACTCCGTCAGGAAGAGGAGCACCCGGGTCGTCTCAGACAGAGAACCTTCGCGAAAAATAATGTGTCGTGATGTTCCAATCATGGCAGGAGTGATGGGGTTTCGGGTGCTTTTCGGGCGATGTGTTTGAATTCATGATGCTTTCGTCAGTTCAACTCGCACGATGGCTGCGAATCGGATAGGCACGGCGAAACCTAACGAGGAATCGAAACTGTAAGAAACTGGGTCACTGGCACGTACCATCCCCCGTGTCGGGGACTTCCACTTTTCTCGCGAAAACGCCCTCGCTGTTCCTATCCCAAAGCACTGTTTTCGATCAAATCCGTTGAGCTACGCCTTCCTGAAGAGGAAATTCCACACAAACATACTCACGTCTCGCTTGAGGCTGGAATGTACGCCTCGATCAGCACACATCTGGGGTAAGCTGCACCCTCCACCACCACACGTCCCGCCATTCCCATTCCGAACACTGCCAAAAAGTTGCAAGTACGAGATACATGTTGAAAGGTATCTCAAGGGAACACGGTGGTGTGCATGCACCGGCCGGTTTCATCGGGTTTGGGTTACAAGTTATGGTTGTACGCGTTGGTCGCGGGTGAGGGGAGGACTTTTGGTGGCCGTAGCCGATATATCGGGTCGATCGAATCGAGTGTGTGTGCAGACCAAACCGCTATGGCCGTCCTGGAAGTTTTTTTTCTCGGTGTGTACGCGACAAGATGTTCGGCTTCAAGGAACAATCGAACAAACCAGGACACGCGAAACTAAGCTTTTTTCTTCGGAGTCGAGAGCATCACACCCAGCTTGACGACACATAAGACGAGCAACAGACTGTTCGCGAGTCCTTGACTGCACAAAGGGGGTGAATACGAGAGTGGGCTCGAGGCGAGAGTGCACCTTCCACCTGCCCAAAAGGGGGGGCGTATTTCGGCAACCACCAACGCCCCCCCGGAGTGGCTGGTCCGCGTGCTCAACGCAGTAGAGAGATCGCACGTGTAGGGCACGGCACAACCCTTGGCGCAGTGAAAACACATATCGCAAGCTCAAAACAACGGACTAGGAGTCGGCGTTACACTGCCCGCCCCGACCGTGAGTACATGTAACATTCGGGACTACGGTAGGACATGTCAAAAATATGGTATACATGAAGGAAGCTGGGCAACTGTTCAGACGAAAACGAAAGGGCACATGAGGATGCGCAAACAGAGGTCAGGCGCCGAAAGCTTGGCCGTGGACGAGCAGCGTGTTTGTACGCCCGAAAACACACACACACAGGTCCTAAGCGTGTGTACGGCCAGGATGGATCGTGCAAGTGCTACGACAAGGACGATTGCGGCCGTGGCCACCTACCACGTGTATATGACACTGGGAGTGGGTACACTTCTCGCCCTCGCCTGTTAGCACCGTTTGCGTCCGGCTGATCAGAAGAGCCCCGGTCCAGAGTGCGAGCTTTCCAAGCATCATTTGCGCTTCGGGGGACCACTCCCACCTAGAGCCGTCCGGGAGGAAAGCGTCGTTGATTTCGGAACCGTGACGTAAAACGACCACATTGGCACTTGCCTGCTGGCCATCGATGGAGGTACTGCAGTCAGCACACACGTTCAGGAAGATCCGAGACGACTATCAACAGACAAAGAAGGAGATATGCACCTGGAGAAAGACTCAGAAAATGGGTAGAACCCACGAGCATGCGTTTAGACTTCCCGCACGCACGACATGAAGCATAACACGGCGCGGGCCAACGCAGCTGCACCGCGTAGAGCAACGCGGCGATGCCCCGTTACCTCCAAGTGTCTACACCCGTTCCCGCTAACTTGCACCGGATCCATTTCCTCCTCCCGCCGCTTCCGTCACTGCCTTCCCCTCCTGTGTTTCTTTCATCCCCCGCCACCTCGCCACACCGGCCCTGGTCTCGAAGGCAGTACCTGATCAACCGCCGAAAAAAGTCGAACGAGAAAGGACCATGAAGGTGGATAGGCCGAACAACTCGCCTACTTCCCTTGAGCTGGCTCGAACCGGTTCGAGTGGTACCCAGCGTGAATGTTGGGGGTTGGGAGAGATCGCGGGTGGAAAGGAGTTTCGTTTGATGTGGACCCGTCCTGTTCCTCCTACCTCGTCTGGCGCTTGTGGTAAGGAACAAACCGGTGGGAGTTTAGGCTGCACATTGGGATCATGCATATCACCCCCTTCAAAACGTCACAACGAGAGACCGGAAGCCTCAGCTAAGACAACCGAAGCAAAACACAAACGCTTCTCACTAGAAACACGCTGGTGATTGCACAACTATGGCTACCTGTTTCGGTTCATGGTCGTCTCTTCCTCATCCCTCCGCAGCCGTGGAGGCTCAGGGAAGAGCTCATCCTCTCTGCAATCAAGAAAACAAAGTAAGTACAGCAGCAGCACCAGCAGTAGTGACAACAACAATATCGATATTGACGTCGATGACGATAGCAGCCCAACATCAACAACAGCAACGTCAACGACAATGACGACGACGACACAACCAAACTCTAGCACAACCAAGGTAGATTACTGCAGGAATGGGCGATGGAAAGCGGCGTACTTGCAGCTTTTCCAGCAACGTTCGGCAATAATACCCCGCCACTTTGTGGCGCTGAGACACAGCACGACGCCGCACGTGTTATGCTGGCCCTCCCTCTATGGCACGCCGCATGCGTGTACCACAGCGTACCTTCGCGTAAAATCCTAGGTATTCCAAGAACATATTGTGGTGGATACGTGAAGCACACCAGTGAGAACATCAGCTGCAAAAAATATTCTTCCGGCGTGAAACGTGTCCGAGCATATCATATCTTGTACCACTCTAATGTGTGTCATACCTTCCTTGGACGCCTTTTCCCCTTCGGTGCATCGGCATCAGAAACACCGGTCCTCCAAACCGCCCCCCGCCACTTTGGCCTTCGCCCTTTCTGGCGTTGTCGTCGCTGCGGCCAACGTCCCCGTTTGCCCTACCGGCACCACAAGACCTCCGGAGGTTGAGCCGAAGCGGCCGGAGAGCGGGGAGATCGGCCGGCCAAACCTCGTCAAAGGCCAGCAAGTGCTGCGCAAGCGCAGAAAGCCACGAAAATTGTGTACGAAAGCGTTCGTTTTTCGAGTGAAAATGTCAAGCGAATCTAACGAAAAGCATGACAAGATCCTGTTGACGGACAAGGTTGCTCCTCATTCTCGGGGTATGCAGCGAAACACCTCCCACCCCTTCAGAATTCAACCTGTCGTTGTCACCTTTTTAACCACTATTACCCTCCCCGATCGGTCAAGGACGACCGCCGGCCTCGCCAAAGCTTCCGCAGTAAGCCCAACGACTGCTCCCGCGACCGCTGTTGCACCCCCCCCTCCCGCGGCCCCCCCTGGCGGCGCCGTACGAACTGGCTGTGTCTGTTGCGGCGCTCTTGTGTAGTGTTCAACGCCGTCCGCACAGTTGTCCCCACCACGACCGTTTCTTTCCTCTTTGTTCTCCATCTCCGCCATCGCGCAAGCACTGGTGTTCGTGCGATTTCGACCAGTATCTGGGCAGAGCTTCCCCATGTTCTCCGGAGATTGTTTCGTGGTGGAAGTTGATTGTTGCACGCGTTCGTCGAGTGCTCCTGTTGAGGATACGCCTAAGGCGTTGAGCCGGGTCCTGGCTGTGTGGGGTCTTTTTCGTACTTTTTTTAGCGTCTCGGGTGTCGATTTCCCACCCTCCGACGTTCTAGGCCGGCCGGATGTCGAGGCCGCTTGTGATGACCACAAAGTAGCAATACCTGATGGTCTAGCTTCTATTACCTCGAAGACATGACTGGATGTTGCTCTTGCGAGCACCGTATCTTGTGCTTGTGTCGCCTGCTCAAGGGTTGTTGTCGTTATCGTTGCTCTGGCGAACATATACGTCGGTTGAGCGCGAGGCACGAGCGCATCCGGCGGGAAATGTCGGCGCAAGTGCCAGCTAGAACTACTGCCGAAATTTGAGCGTCCTTTCTCATCGCTGTTGCTGATGCTTTTCAGGCCTGGGTCAGCGCGTAATAAATCTGTATTCGGGGGAGCGCTGCTGCAACTATTTTCACCACTGCCTCTGCCGCTCCTGACGTTGCCGCTGTCCTTGTAGTTGGTGGTGTCGTCGGGTCTGCTGCTGGATTCGCTGTTGTTGCTGCTGGTGCCATTTCCCGGTCCGGCAGAGACGTGTCGACTTGGTGAGGACCGTACCACGCCTCGCCCTGCCTCTCGGGACTCTTTCTCCCTCGCGTCTCTCGGCGAGGCGTTCAAGATGACACTTCTCGTCGGGGAAGAGGAGCCACAATCTCGTGTGAGGTGCCAGGACACCTGCAGCGTTGCGGAGAGGGCCAGTCACATTGTCGATGCATTGGTTGAAGGAGGAAGTAGACCTTACCCAGGCTACGACACATCGGCTCACTTCAACACCCAACGTCTGTCGACGATTGTCAAGCATTGTGCCGAAGTGGCTCTGGCGCGGCAAGCAGCTGGCAACACGTAGAAAATCCAGAGCTCTACTGTGTTGTTTGGCGATAGGTCTCTACTTCAACGGTGCTGAGTCAGAGAATGTGAAACTGGGTGTCTGGGTGGTCTAGCGAACGATTGAGGGCACTGCACATTGAGTAACAACCTACACCGGGCACCGACACCGTGCCGAAGAGTAGCAGCATATTTGGCAGCGAGTAATATGGTGTCATCGGGGGAAGTCCTGCTGCAAGGGCAGACGGTCGTAACCAATACATCCGTCCAGTCCAGACGGAGACTGGTCTACACTATTATCACGAGAGACGGGGGAAAGGTTGCAGGGTACTTGAACCTTTGTTGCGCGGAGATGCATGGGCGCAGTCGTCTAGAATCAACAAAACCACCGAAAAAAATAATGCGTGTAAAACTCGCCTCTTGTGGAAGTAAGGCCAGCTTCGGAATCACCGAGCTTCCGAGAGACTTCTTTGATAAAAAAGAGTGCCCCCGCGTCCTTCCCTTCGTCCTATCGGCCGGTGCTCCTTCAGCTCTTCCCGGCGCCTCATCCTCGTGGTCTTCGCAGACTCGTCCTAGCGCCGCTAGAAGACCACGCCGCCTCTTCCGCGGATAGCAGTAGTGCCGACGGTTGATGCTGGCGAAGCTTTTCTGGCTGCTGCTGCTACACTTAGACACCGGGAAACCAACTGGGAGATCCGACCTACCTCTCCACGGCAGCGGTCGGGTTTGTGCGTGTGAAGGCTCGGAATAATGCAGCTCCGCCCCATCGGTGTGGACGGTCAGTCGCCGTTTGACCCTGGCGTAGAAACATTTTACCCAAACGAGGGAGGAGACCCGAAAAATTGATACAACAGAAACTGATTGGTGTATCTCTCTCTATCTCTAGTGCACGGGGCTGTGAGCACGACTTCATGCTAGGCATGTCGGGGCCAACTGTGCATGCTACGTGGATCAGCCGGGCGATTTTCCGCCCATATCGCATAACCCTTTGTGAATTCGGCCGCAAAGCTTCCACTCGAGTTAAGGGGTGGCAGAACACGAACAAACTTTGATGTTGACAATTTTTGAAAGCAAACGCAAGAGCACCAGAAATGGCACACGAGACATACTAGACCAGTTGGAAGGCATCGCGAAAAACAGCAATCGCTCATTCTCGCACAGGGCGGTAGTCGAGGCTGCTCAAAACATACATTTCACGCTTCTACCTCCACACGCCTCTTTCAAAATCAAGATAAAAATTCAAACCAAAATATCCAAGACGGCAGGCGCTCAAACAAGGTCTGTGTTGCCAGGAACCTGGTACATAGTATTAATATCACTAGAGGACATCCTATGGCAGCGGGGGGTGCGTCTTGGCGAGCTCAAATCAGCTTCTGTGGTGGTGATGTCGAGGTTCGTAAGAGCGGCCTACAATCTGCGCAACTCCCCGCAAACTAGATCGACACCCCCAGTGTCTTGTACTGCTCGTGATCGTCGCCACTGACTGAGCTGCGGGTTTACAGCAGTAGCTGATGCCACTAGCTGCTGCAACCCTCCGTTCCGGGGTTTACGGTCCGTGGCGGTGAGCACGGCTGTGACAAATGCTGAATGCTGCTTGGTTCCGGCACAGATTTCGGACTGTTGTCGGAGGCTGCCGCGACCTTCGATATCTCAGCTCCAGCAGCAAAGCTGAACGTGCCAGCACGCACGACGCCTCTTGATGCTGTCCTCTACTGATATTTAGTACCACTAATTACCAGATTCCAGGCGGGAAGGTTGTTTTCTTTCGTTGTATTCGATTAAAGTACGAGGAAAGAGCCAGCGTAAAAAAAAACTGTTCTACCCCCCCTTAACACGCCTGATGCTCAATGTGTACGGGTCTGAATGAATATGTCTTAAGAACTTGTAGGGGAAACCTTTCGTGTGGATTTCTGCCAGACACCAACAATTGTGCACGGAGGCACTGTAATTATGTTTGTTTTGGTTGCGAGACGCATCGCCAAAATCCATCCCATCCACCTCCTCCCCCCCCGAGATCAGCTTCCATCCTCTGCATGTCATTGCGCGGATCTCGTCCTTGGCGAAGTCGTATTTCATGGAGTAGCATTCACACTCCCCTTGAGATCCATCTGACGCATACAGCAGTGTCCGCCTCTTTACAGAAGCGTCCCTAAATCGGCTAGGCAAGCGAGATTCAGCACTGTTGTATGCCGTTGCTGTGTATCGGACTAACCGCCACCGCTTGGATGCTTCTCCAAGGCTCGGTCTATCTTCAGCTAGTACTCCGGCCGCCATGTTGTCGTGTCGGCGCTGGAGCTGCAATGATGTAAAGTATTCACCAGGCCCCGGCACGCATACTCTAGGCCTCGGGTCGTAGACGCGGAGGAATTGCCAGCAGGCACACAACGTGAAACTGAACCATTCAAAAACGCGGGGGGTTCGACGGTTGTGAGTGTCTCTCCGTTCTTCGGGTACAATATTTCGTTTGGATACCTTACTATCACGGCATATGTTTCTTCGCCAACAAGAGTATCAAATGGTCTTGTGAGTCAGTTACCAGTCTTCGATGATACTCTGGAGTACTGCTGTAGTCCACGTCGTACGTGTGCACACAGACGTCAGACCATCAGACCGAGATGTTTTGTGTCAAGGAACTCAAGACACTTGCAGCACGTTGTGTGTCGTGTAGTCGTGTCGCCCTGTTGGCTGCACCCTGCTTCACGCTTCACTGCTTCACGCACTACAAACTACATACCGTTCCGATCCCTGCCCGGTACCCGGTAGCATTCGTACTATAAGCCGAATATTTGTAGTACAGAGGGGTTCAGGATCCGAAACAGTATCGCAAGACGGAATTGAGTCTGGAGGGCAGTATCGATCAACGCTAGACCCTAGTTGCTGTGCATTGGCACGTATACCCTACGAGAAATATCTCGAACGGGCAGTCTAGCCCTTCGGTGATGTAGGCAGAGCACTAGCACCCATGGGCGCAGCTCCACCGTGTATCTACGGCAGAGGCAGTAGATGCAGACAACAAGAAGCACCACGGCTGAGGTACGTCAGAACGCCTTTTTATGTTTTCAACGCAAGGAAACACAGGCAAGAGCATCGATGACAACCGAAAACAAGCTCGACCCGCACCCCGTATTCTGGAACTATGTAGCAAGGACCCGCCGCAGTGGATGTAGCAACACTCAGATTACAAAAATAAATGAATACCGCCAGCTGTTCCATGGGAAGCCAACGACCATACCATGCTTGAACGGACGCGAAACACAGAATACAGCACCCAAACAGAGGCGCCACCAAAACACGTATGACTGAGAATGAGCTTTCGCGATTACGGAGACAAGAAAGGTCCTATTGTGTTTGTCTAGCGAGCAACCATCGTGGATGTGGCCACACTTACAAGGCCTCCAGCCATATTTACCCCCTTGGGCAACCCAAACCAATTTTTTTTTCATGCTTGAAAGGCAATGAAAGACGAGGTGTTCAAGATCCAAAGAAGGAGCACAAAAGCACGCACACAAAATATAACGCGCGAAAACATGGACAAGAACGCTCCACCTAGCGTGTTCTAGCGAGCACCAGTCGCATTGGACATGATAACACGCACAAGGTCTCCCGGCACGCAGCGGTCATAACATCCCCACGGAAAGCCAACAAATCGCACGTTTGTACAACCACGAAAAATAATGTATAAACAATCCGAACAGAGGCGCTCATAAAACGCGCAAGAGATCATGCGCACGAATCACACCTCTAAGCCTGACCCTGACACCCAGTAAACAACTGCTGTGTACCCTAGGAAGGTGCAAGGCAGGTCATCATCAAAGGCTGCTCGCACTCCAACCACAATCTTTGCAAGCGCTGGCCTGCCATTTCCGACCACATGCAATCTACACAGAGGTCCAGTTCCACTCGAGTCTCCGGCCCTCACCAGCCCAACAAACTCAAACCAATATATATCTGAACAGCACCAGTGCCACACACTACACAAGTCAACCGGTCCCTGGGGGGTCTAGTCTATTGAACAGGTACCACCGACCGACAAAGGTTAGACGACCGGAACAACAGAACACGAGGAAATAGTTACAAAACCACACCATACTCGCAGCACCACCCAGCCTGCAAGCACCACCAGTAAAAATGACACACCAAACAAAAAAAACACACATACAGGTCGATGCTAATAATAAAAAATAACACACACACATCAGCACCCCGCAACCCCCAAGCAATAACCAATACTTCAACGTGCAGAACTCATCCAACCTTTCGGGCAACAGGAACGACTTCCACAAGAACCACACGACTGTCTGTAGTTGACGCGACGACATGGACTGTTGGAGACCAGCGCGTCGCCTCCCTCTGTATCGAACACGATCTCTCACAGCGTAGGGCCAACGCCGCACACAACCAAACTCTGATCGAAACGAAAAAAACTCAAGATACCCATTCGCAATGACGTCGTGGCGCTATGGTTTTTGTCTGCGTGTGCCCAGACGTACTTCCCTTCACGGTTCACGGTTCACGGTTCACGGTTCACGGTTCACCACGGCGTCCGAACTATCCGACACATTCAACACTCGTGGACGCAACCAACGCTCACACATGCAACGGCAGAAAAAGCAAAGGAACGCTGCGGCGATAGAGGGGACCCTGTCGGCTCCCGAAGACTGGTACGTGTCGTTGCCTGGACATACCAAATCAACCTCGCCCAACTCCTGTGGGGTGGTCGTCTCTCAAGCTCCGAGGTCGGTCGGGGTCACTCCCCAGCGGAAGGCCAGCGAGGGAGGCAGCAGCCTCGCCATGGTTTCGTTCATCCACTGGATCGTCTCCAGCTGGAGCCCGTGCGTGCTGTAGTCCCCGTGCGGTGCGGGATTCCGGTGGGCACGCCACACCTCGAGGGCGTCCTCCTCGGAGCACGCCAGGCCCATGAAGTCTGCCATGCCGATGAAGCCGTGGTGATGGTCCTGCGAGCGCGCGCCCGGAGAAAAAGGCGGCGGGCCGTTCGGTGGGGTTCGAGGCGTCGACGCAAGTACATCGGGAGGAGAACCGAACCGGGACGGGGTGGAGGCTTGACAACAGCGGTTATCAGCTCGATCCGGGTTGCGCGAGCAACGCCAGACACTGCTGTCATGGGACTCCACATCGATCAAGGCCCACCGCAAACTAGAGTGAATACCACGCTTCATGCGAGGGCCTGCTCATCATGGAAGAAATGAAACCTACCACGACTCCGAAAAATTGGGGAGTACCTATAAAGGCTCGCGGAGACCAGATCAAAAGTTGCCCTACCCGCGTGTCAGTGCGAGGCCTGTATTTTCTGCCTGAGTCCCTGGCAAAAAGAAAGTGTAGCTCCCTCCTCCCCCAAAAAACAAAAGAGTGTTGTTTCAGGTGCTTCCATGATACCTTCAGATCCTCATAGAAGACGACGTGAGACGAGGGCGCCATGACCGTTTCCGTGTGCCAGAGGTACCGCTGGTGTGTCCATGAGACCAGAATCTGCCAACAAGTCCAGATCAACAGCATTCGGGGACGTGTGGAAGCCGAAGGAACTACATGTTGGGCGTGGTTCGTCGCGGCCTCAGTCGCCCACAAAACACGGGTCTTGGTGACTTTTGGCGGCCGCCAAAATCAAGGATTAGTTGGTACCAGCGGGATAACGCCACCGGATGATGTCAAAGTTCGAGCAGCCGCATGGGTTGGTGACACCAGCCTTCTACCACGCGCCTTCCGGGGCGGCAACATCATGCCGCTCCCTAACTCACAGCGTCGTTCGCGGTGGTACAATTAGCGGTCAAGCGAGCATCGTTGTTTCGGACTTCATACAAGGTCGGTCGGTCCCACAGTAGTAGCTCAGGCAATTTTCGTGGAGGTCTCCGACCTCGAAACGTTTCCGCGCGAACACGTCCGGCGTAGTCTTTCTGATCCAGGCGGGTTCTCTGTAGTATTTAATCCGCATTTCCCGCTCGGACATCGCCACATCTCTGGGGTCCCGTATGATGACCATACTCCTTCGCGACATGGAAGGCGGGCGCGGTATAATCGGCCGGGCGGGGTCAGCGACAACGGCAATCGTTCTAACCGTCAGTTGTCATGTACACAGAAGCCGACTTGCGAACTTGTTCCGTGGCGCTGTGGGAGCGTGTAGAGGTTCATATGCGCGGCCAGGCATCCTCAATACCCCCCGGTGTCATCCTTGTGAACAATACCCTGGGCCGGAGAAAACCCGGCATATCGCTCCGTCCCGGTGTTGTAGGGATGCGAAGTCGATAGTCTAACGACTACGGCATATGTTTCCACTCGTTACCCCGGTGGATCCCGCCTCGCCGCTGCAGACGCTGGACGCGGCGTGCGCCGGCAAAATTTCAACGGGCGACGAAGACGATGACGACATCAACCACAAAGATGCACGTGTCGCCCTTCTCACCGTCCGAGATCAACACCACCCGCAATGAGTCCCCCTTTTCTCACCGCCTTACGTCCGGATCGACGCTTGCCATGTACTGCACGCACAGGGCCGACGTGTTAAAGAGGCACGCGCGCAGGCGCTCCCTCGTCGGAGTCTCCTCTTCGTCCAGGCACGGCGGAGTGTCCCCGAAGTAGTTCTCGTGCGGCCTGCCCCCGTTGTCGCAGCCGGGATGCGGCTCGCCCTTCATGCCCGGTATGTAGTGCTTGCCGTTGCCCTTAAGAGACGCGGGGTCAGGCGAAACAACACTTTTGTCAGGGTGGGTGCACGCGTCTGTGTCCTGTAAGTAAAGCGGCTTCGAAGTGCAACCACGAAACACGTCGAGGAGAGGCAGGCGCACGCGATCGAGACCCGGCCAGACTCCCTCCGTCCCACAAAAGCAAGCAGCCTGAGACCGCCAAAGCGCCGCTTGCGAGAAAATGCGGCGAAAGTTGTTATCGACAACAGATCATGTCTTCGTGCAGCAAACAGCGCGGCTTGTTCTGCGTCGCTCCGGTACAGCTCCCATGCGCCAAAGTGAAACGTACGAGCTGTTGCCACTCCTTAAGGCCGTCATTGTGCTGCGCCAACTGCTGTACTGACGTTTCGGAATCCATCCGGTCGCGGGGAGAATGCGGCCAGCGGCACAGCAGTACGGACAAACTGCAAACCTCCCGCTGTGGTCAGTCAACATGGCTGTCTGCACTCACATCGAAGTGAAGGAAGAGAGCACCCTCGCCGGCGGTCTTGTTCACCATCTCGAACACGTACTTTGGCGCCGGTAGGTTGTCGAGAACAGCTAGTCCTCCCATGCCGCACCTGCATCAGCACAGGGCACGTGGTTGACAAGGTCTCAGGGGGTCGAGAGTCTCGGTATCGGCGCGCCAGCAACACCATCCCAACCACACTGCTCCTCTTTCCCCTGTCAAAAGGTAAACGCTGTAGACGTGGGCGGTTCGACGAACGGGCTACATGCTGTCTGACTTCCAAGTCCAAATGACCCCAACTTTTTTTTTTTTCTCCCATCATTGGACCCCCCGCCCCGGTGTTTGCCATCGGGGTTGGGTTTTCGTCGCTTGGCAACGACGTTGTAAAACAAGCCGCCCCCCCCGGTGTTTTACCATTGGGGTTGGGTTTTCGTCGCTTGGCAACGACGTTGTAAAACAAGCCGCCCCCCCCGGTGTTTGCCATCGGGGTTGGGTTTTCGTCGCTTGGCAACGACGTTGTAAAACAAGCCGACCCCCCCGGTGTTTGCCATCGGGATTGGGTTTTCGTCGCTTGGCAACGACGTTGTAAAACAAGCCAATTCACTTCGTGAACTCGGCAACCAGGTTACCGTTTTTTTTTTTTTCCTCCGTTTTTTTTTTTTGGCGGTAACCATAATGGTGGTCGAGTAGATCATGTTGTGCGGGGTGGAGAACCCTCACTCCGCGCAAGGGGGATGATCGCACCACGTTGTGTTAAAATGGTCAAGCACCCTCGAGGCAGTTACACAGTGCTTACAACTGTCTCTGGAAGTGAAAGCACCAGAAAATAAATTAATTCATACGCAGCTGTCATCCGTACGCAAGGAAGTAAGCACAAGATGCCGAACACCCTTAGCAGGATGCAGCGCACCCTTCATGCGACTCGCCGAATATCTCACGGCGCTTCGCGCTTGGTGATGTGAGAGCCTGGTCTGGTGAGAACCCGGCGTGCTCCGTCCCGGCTTTGTAGGGATGCGAGGTCAATGGTCTAACGACTACGGCATGCACGACTATGAGTACACCCCCCCATCATTGGACTCTGTTGTCTGCTCCTCTGGCCCCCATCCTCCACTTTTACTAGCTAAACAAACCAACCGGGGTCACATAGGAGGGGGAGGTTAGACTCCCTCCTGCGTTTCCTGCCTGAGATATTTTTATCGCGATAAGGGTACAGCAATCCCTCCCCTCGGGACATATGAAGTCGATCAAGTTTACTAACAACAAGCTTTGCAGAGCGTCGCTTCCAACGGAGACCAGGATCTAATTTGTGAAAAAAAGCTCACTCTGCCGGGACACGAACCCATAAACTGACCTTTAGCAGGCTGCGAGATTACCCACTAGACCACCGGGGAGACCAACTATGTACGCACACGACACTATTCGCCAAAAACTCCATCTCAACGACAGACTGACCATAAAATACGGCTCTCTGTGGGACACTCACCTCTTGCGGGAGCGGATCAAACGCATGTGGCGGAGAAGAAAAAAGAACAATCTGAAAACGTCTGAAAACACGACTGACTTGAGGAATGGGCGCCGCTCGAAGAGAGACAGGCCTGCGCGACGGATCCCTCCTACGGAGGGCACGACGAGCAGCAGTTTGTGTGCACACGCGCGTCACACGCCTCAGAAATCAAAGGCACAGCAAACCCACGCTTGACCAGGAGATATTTCCGCCGCCTGCCCTCTGGCCTCACCACGAGTTGTTCGCGTTCCCACAAAGGTGTAGCGCCAGGTCCGGTACCAACCTCCCTAGCCAGGTCGTGCCGGATTTTGGTTCTTTCCGCGCGCAAGAGATTGGGAGAGAGAGTGCGGCGTCGGCGGGAGGTACATGGGTTAGGGGAGCGAAGCAGAAAAGTGGCACGAGGAGGCGTACCTCAAACCCTAATTGCGAGAGCATGCGCGCGCGGGACGGGATCGAAGGGCGATACCATACTACTGGTGGCTTTTGTATGGTTTAAGAGGAAATGTTTTAGACTACATAGTACGGGTATAAGAGAGTAAGCTATGTAGCTTGTTCCGACCAGTAGTAGTAGCCAAAGCGACGTGAGCGTGCGCGAACCGCATGCATACTGTAGATGTCCAAGTTCACGAGCAGGCAATATTTTTAAGCTTCCGGCTCAATGGGAGAGAGAAATAGAGAGGGAGCTCGAGCACACGGACGACCCGTCAGAGGAAGAGGCTCACCGTGACCGGAGGAAGGCTCGACGCCGCCGTTGGCTGAGCACGCCAAAACCGCTTGGTGGGGTGCAGCGTGTGAGTGCTGACCCATCATCCCGAATACCACTACGTACGTCGTCGACCTTAATTTATGGTGGAAAAAAAGAAATCTCAACAACAAATAAAAGCAAGTCCCCAGCTTGGTACGCCACTCACCACCGGTCGCGTCCATAGAGATTCCGTTGCCCGGAAGCTGCCATCCACCTGAAAGGTATGAAACATGTGGGGCCACCAACGACAGCAGTGGTGTGTGGCACGTCGGGGCGTGAGGATACCAAGAGCGGGCAACTGGATTAGTAACAAACGACACAAAGGCTTCGCGTGGCGTCAAAACGGAATGGGGGCAATGAAAAAAAAACAAAGACTAAATCGGGTGGGCAACTGGAATAGCAAAAAAATGAAGGGATTACTGCCGTCGTCGGTTGCTTGACGTTCCCCTGAACTACTGCTGTGGCTGCTTCATGGTTTCACCTGTAGTCTTGACATGTTCGACATTTCTTTCTTGTGCTGCTTGTCTCTTTGTTCCCGACATCGAACAGGTGTTCCTCGATCAATTCTACAAGACTCGTGACCGGCTCACGGAAAGTGGGTTCGAGGAGGAGTATGCCAATGAAGGGAAGACTTGATTGTGGCAAGGAGAACAGAGGGAGGGCGGGGGGCAATACGGACGCTGAAACACTGAAGTCGTTGCTGACAATTTGCGGCGTGTGCGCCGGCGGGCTTACCAGGTTCTTGAAGGAAAGGGATGTCGATAGGCTGAATCGAAGACTTCTCAGGCAAATCCGGCTGGTGACCGCCGCCGTTCGAGGCACTACGACTTTTACTTTTGTCGGCAACCGCGGGAACCTGCAGCTTCGGACTACTATGCATGCGAACGGCGGTGGGTGCAAGAAACAACAGCACGGAGACGGTTCGGCCGTTTACGTAAAGGGGGGGGTAGGGGTGCGGTGTGGGAGCGTACTCTAATGTTTTGCATGCCTTAGCGGTTAGACCATTGACCACGCGTCGTCGAGAGGATGGAGCATTGTTCCTACAGGACCGATCACCGATGGCCAATCGTTCCTTTCTACTTTGCCAAAGGTGGCTCAAAAATGCCTTTCCTAGTCTGTCCATCCTAACGATATCCCTTCTCGCCTTTTCTAACCACTTCTTACTCCCAAGTACAGCTACCGTCCTTTCCTCTCTATTCCATACCTCAAACATTTCCATGTACGTCCCTTTTATTTTTCCCAGCTCAGTCATGTACACTTCCCTCTCCTTCTCGTACCACTGACATTCCGCGACTCCATGAACACGGTCTTCGCATTCGAAGCCGCTATCACATCTGTCGTCTTCGTCGTCTACCGTCCTATCTATGTCTTCGTCGACGTTCTCGAAGGCCTATGTCCGCGGTCCTGAATTTGACCTTAACCTTTGTCCCTGCATCCATTGGTCCATGTACATAATCCTTGAACCCTTCCGTACACTAGACCCTCCTGATGCTCGGTTTCTTTCCCTAGCTTTTGTTCTCTCTGGGCACAAGCAACATATATCTTCTCCTTGAAGCCCTGTAGACCCTTCGTTTCCAGCGTTTCATCTTCGTCGATGTCGAACCCCTTCCATACGTCCTCTACAACCTTGACCCATTCCATGGGTTGTCTCCCCCTCTTTTTTTTTGCCCACTTCGCCTCCTATACCATTCTCGGCAACCTCTCTTCTCCCATCCCGCACATGCAATACTGCTATGTCAGCTTCCTTGCGTCTCTTCCCGACCGTAGGGATTGGATCTCCAATTCTGCCCTGACGGCTGCATTACTTGTGCGTCTGGAGCATCCTAGGATGATTCTCGCTGCTTTCATCTGCGCCGCCTCGAGTTCTTTCAATACGATCTTATTTCCTTTCCATACTTCTCCGGCGTACTCTAGCGGCAATACGATTACGATCTTCAAAACCGTCAATTTGATGCGTGTATCGAGGTGCCGGTTTGCGAGTATTGGANTGCGCGTGGAGCATCCTAGGATGATTCTCGCTGCTTTCATCTGCGCCGCCTCGAGTTCTTTCAATACGATCTTATTTCCTTTCCATACTTCTCCGGCGTACTCTAGCGGCGGTACGATTACGCTCTTCAAAACCGTCAATTTGATGCGTGTATCGAGGTGCCGGTTTGCGAGTATTGGGTGCAGCTTCCCTGCTCGTGCTTTGCCCTTTTCCGCTACCTTGGACATGTGTGCATTCCACGAGCAGTCTTTTGCGATCTCTACTCCAAGGTATGTGTACTGGTCCACTACTGCAATCTCCTCGATCCCCCACTTCCATCTATGTTCTACTGGTTCCTCCTTGTTCTCGTTGCATACCATGACGGCACTCTTCTGAACGTTGGCAGACAATCTCCACTTATCAGTAAACTTCTTCGCCGCGTCAATTTGCAGTTGCAGTCCCTCAGGGGTGTCCGACATACCGACGAAATCATCCGCAAACAGCATTCCTGAAACCGAAA